TTTCATTGGGTGACAAGGACCCTGATGAAAAAATGGGGGGCGGGGATGATGTAAAGGCAGGGAGGTTCTGGAAGTGTCTGCCATGAGGGTGTGAACCAGAGTTTCCCAGGCAGGGAAAGCCCCCCCCCCAGTTCAGTGCTTTGAGCTCTGCTTCCTGAATCCACAGCTCTGGTTCCAGCTGAGGGTGATGAGCGTCCAGTGGAAGGGGCTGGGGCTGGGGCTGGGGGACAGGAGGCGGAGGCTAACCTTGCGGCCGAGGCCCCTTGCGCCAGCCCCTGCCGTGGTTGGGTTGCAAGGATAGGGCTTGACTTGGTGGCTCAGCATATTCTAGGCCCCGCCTCCCCGCTCCCCCCCAACTTTGGGGGTCTCCTGCCTGGCTTCTCTGCCTCTACCCTTGCCCTACCTCACAGCAGCCTGAGGGAACCCGTTGAACGCATGCTCTGCTCCTTTGCTCCAAGCTCTCTGGTGTCTCCCACCTCACTCACAGCAAGATTCCCGTTCTTACAACACCCTCCAGTCCCAGTGTTCCAGCCGTCCAGGCAGGGTCCTTTGCTGTTCTCTGGGACGGCCTTTCCCTCTGCCTGGAGCTCTTCCCCAGATCTGCCCTGAACTTCCTCAGCTCCCTTGATCCACCTTCTTTTCTGTGTGGCCTCCCCGATTCCAGTCACGTTGACCCATGATTCTTTATCCCTAACACTCGGCTCCATGGGCAGACCTCTGTGTTTCCCTTGACTCAGCACTAAATTCGGTGTCTTAGGAGGAGGAGTTGGCCCTGCCTCCCGCGGTATTCATGCCAAAGAAGAGTCACACCCTTTTACACTTGTCACCTGCCCTGCTGGGGGGCAAAGGGCACCCTGCCTTCGTTTGTCACCCTTGGCTCAGCGGGGTCCTGGGACCCCAGTACTACAGCAGTGCCTTTCATTATTCTGCCAGAACTTGTGGCTCCTGAATATGTCTTTGGATTGAGGCGTCGAGGCCCTTGGCCCGTTCAGGGTTAAAGGCAGGAACGCAGGTGTCTCAGCTCTGGCCCTTTCTGTGGTGCGTTCCTGGTCTCTCTGGCCTGCCTTACAGTGAAGGGCAGGGAGGGCCTCTCTTCTTTTAAAAGATGCTTATTAAAACACCTGCCTAGGCCAAGCCCCGGGCAGGCTCCGGGGACAGCCTTGAACATGGTGGGCCCCCCTCAGGTGTCCGTCAAGCCCTTTGGGTGGGGCTGACAATCAAGTATCACACTATGTTGCAGAAGTGCATACAGGCCCAGAGACGTGGAGAACAGAAATTCTGTTCTGTGAAAGGGGCGCCAGTGTGGGCAGTCAGGAAGGGTGGACAGAGCTCAGGGAAGGTAGCTTGGTTGCATGGGAAGGTAGCTCGGGGACGGAGCTCGGTTGCATGCTTATGGAGTTTGCTCAGGGAGGAGAAAGGAGGCTGGATGGGAGTGAGTGAGGGGGGAGGTGGGGTGGGGGCTGTACAATGGGCCCGGGGAGGATTTTGGTGTTTATCTGAGGATGATGGGGAACCATGAGGGGGTTTTAATGAGGGAGCAGACTCCCATTCGCCATGGGGAAAGCTCCTTCTCGCCGTCAGGTTGACACGGAGGTGAGGAAACCAGGGAGGGAAGGCCGAGGCAGGTGGCCAAGTGCCCGACAAAGGCTGGCATTTGTGGCCCCCGGGCTTGGCTGGTGGGACCACACAGCATGGGGAGAACCGTGTGGCCACTGGCCTCTCTCCCCTGCCCCCAGCCTCTCTGCCTTTTGCCATCCTGACGCTTGTGAACGCACCATATAAGCGAGGGTTCTACTGTGGAGATGACTCCATCCGGTACCCCTACCGTCCAGACACCATCACCCACGGGCTCATGGCTGGGGTCACCATCACAGCCACCATCATCCTCGTAAGGCAGGAGAGGTTGGAGGGTGGTAGGTTGGGTGCTGGGGGTGGGGCCAAGTTTTGCCCTGAATGGTATGTGGGGAAGGGGGCCCCCCCTTTGGAGTTCCCAGAATCCCAGCAGACTCAGGGAGGCCAGGCACCCCGAAGCCCTTTCTGTGGGGAGTCCGAGGCCCAGCGAGCCAGGGCTTGGTGGAGGCCCTCACAGTTGCCTCCCCAGCCCAGCCATGAGTGCCCTCAGCGGCTCCCTGTGCAGGTCTCTGCCGGGGAGGCCTACTTGGTATACACAGACCGCCTCTATTCCCGCTCCGACTTCAACAACTACGTGGCGGCCGTCTACAAGGTGTTGGGGACGTTCCTGTTTGGGGCTGCGGTGAGTCAGTCGCTCACCGACCTGGCCAAGTACATGATCGGCCGTCTGCGGCCCAACTTCCTGGCGGTGTGTGACCCTGACTGGAGCCGCGTCAACTGCTCCGTGTACGTGCAGGTGGAGAAGGTGTGCAGGGGAAGCCCCGCCAACGTCACCGAGTCCAGGTGGGTGCTGGACCGGCCGCCTTCACTCGGGGCGATGCTGGGGACCCTAAGCCACGGCTGTTCCCACCCCTGGGGGAGGAGTCGGGGCTAGAGCAGGACCCCCAGGCGCTGGATGTGGAAGGGTGAGCTTCCTGGAGGGTAAGGTGGGGTGAGGCCGGGTGGGGCGCGTGGGCCTGGGTTGGGGAGGTGTGGGGATGTGAGGTGGGGCCGGGATGCGGGGTCCCGAGCAGAACAGCCCCCCAAACCTCAGGCCCCACTGTCTGGCTTCTGCTCTGTGCTCTCACATTCTCTGATAAACTTCTCAATTAATTGGCATCTATTTTCCTGTTTAAAATTTTGAAATAAAATTCACATCCCTAAAAATCACGAATTTAACTATTTTAATACATACAATTCATTGATTCTTAGTACATTCACAGTGTCGTGCCGCCATCCCCACTCTCGTATTCCAGAATATGTTTATCATCCCAAGAAAGAAGCTCTGTGTCTATTAGTTATGAGGCCCCCGGCACTGCCTCCTCCCTGAGCCCCTGGCACCCACGAACCCCCTTCCTGTGGGTGGGTGTGCCTCTTCTGACGCTTCACGCATGTGGGGTCACACACCGTGCAGCCTTTTGTCTGGCCTCTCCAGTGTCTGTGCTCACATGTGAGGTGTGTGCGTTTCTGCCTCACTTCTTTCGGGGTTCTTGTTCTGTGCGTTTTCTTTGTGATTGTGATGTGTTCTTGACACATGTGCCTTGATCACTGTGTAACGTCCTTTGTCTCTGCGAACGGTTTTTTTCTTTTCTTTTCATCGTCTGTTTTGTCCCATAGCAGCGTGGCCACTCTGGCTGTCTTTTGGTTGCTGTCTGAATGGAATGCTTTTCCCACTTTCGTACTTTCAGCCTGTTTGTGCGTCTGAAGGTATACGGCATATGCAAAGTTACGTCACTTTGTAAGTTTGTTTTGCAACCTCCGCCTTTTAATAGGAGAGGTTAATACATTTATATTTAATGTAATCCCCCATAAGAAAGAGCTTCTGGTGTTTTGTTATTTGTTTTCTACATATTCTTTTTTCCTGGCTTTAGAATTTCTTCATTACTGCCTTCTTTTACGTTAGTTACTGATTGTGCAGAAAGTTTGTGGCTACATAGCTCTGCCCCCCTTATGAGATTATTTTCACAAATTATATTTTATACATTGTGTGTTCATCAACTCAGATTTGTAATTACTGTTTTACTCAGGTTTTTGAAAAATGAGGCATAATTGACATAATATGATGCGATGTTTGTTTTAGGTGCGCAACATCGTTCAACATTTGTATTTACCTTGAAATGATCACCACAATAAATCTAGCTAACACCCATCTGTATGTGCAGTTAAAAAATTATTTTTTTAAATTTTTATTTGTTTATTCAAAAAAAATTTTTTTTTAACGTTTACTGATTTTTTTGAGACAGAGAGAGACAGAGCATGAACAAGAGAGGGCCAGAGAGAGAGGGAGACACAGAATCTGAAACAGGCT